CACGTCTTAGGACCGTTGGCGTCGCCCCCGGATCCGTTAGATTCTTGGTTATAATTTTGTGAACGAGAGACCCGTCTTAGGTTGCTGGCGTGGTCCTCGTTTCCGTTATATTAGTGTTTGGTTTTAGCGTAACCCGGCCTATTCCGAATTGGGTAGATTTATTTAGTGACAAAGAGAGTGCGTTGCACTCGTGGTACTCCCGCGAGGGATACCTGGCGCCCAACCCGTGTTTTCGTGTTGGTGAAAGGAGGTAGAGAGAGAGGACCATTGCGGGTCGTTTTTGCTGACGTAAGATTCACCTTATCGGTTTTTGTTTTGTTATCGTCGCAAAATTTGGCGCCCAACGTGGGGCCCGAGGTGAGATCGAAAATATCTGATTTTACGTCGCAATGTATACATAATAGGTGCAAACCTGTGTGGCGTAGCACGAAAATTAAACGAAAAAAATCGCCAAACATGGAATATTGCGATTACTAGATTATATTTTGTGAAAATATATTTTTATAACAAGATAATGTATATAATAACAGTAAAAATATATTCATTTCAAATTTTTAAAGATAGTTGCGTTTTTTCCGATCAGGAGGCGCCATTATTCTATACAAATCGCATTACATTTGATAGATGTCACTAGCAGCCAACTTCAGTTCGGAGTCGTATACTGCAGTTTACCCCAATTTTACATTTTTACATTATCGCACTAGTGCACTAGTTCTTCTCGCACTAGTGCGATAAAGTAAACTTTGTTCTCGCGCGCTGTCATGAAATGCATTCACTTTGGAAGCCTTCCTTGCACTTCTCATGGCTGCCTCCTCTAATGAAGAGATGTTCCAGTCACTTTGGAGGCACAAAAAGTAGCACTTTTCATGCATTCGTTACAGAAATTATCATGCGATACTGGTACAATAAAGCGAACATTATACGCAGGTCGTTAAGTTTGTCACATTCGCCGCACTCATAAAACAAGCAGCACTCGCCATCGACTCGTGCCGTTGTGTTACTCGTGTGACCAACTTCACCGCTTGCCTATGAAGTTCGCTTTCTCGCACTCATATCGCAAAGTACTATTATGACCTTCAGCATATCGATTTTACTGTAATATTGCCGATAAAATCGGCGTTCCGTTGTGAGTCGCACTTGTGATGTGATAATATTATGCATTCTGTTAAACAGGAGGGTAAATTTTCCTATATATTGTGAAAACAACATTCAGGATCGATGTTTAGACCTTTTTTAATCTACATATATAGTTACAATAGTACCACTTACCCTATATGCATTAACAATATTTCAACGTATAGTTAAATAGTTTTAATAAATATTATTTTTTATAATTTTTTCATATTCTTATTTCGTGTAAACATAAAGATTAAACAAAATGCTGGTATTATTTTAGATAAAATTTATTCTTTTTTGAAACATGTAAACTTATGGTCATTTATTGATTCCAAATACAAACCGAGAAACTTCCGGTTGGTAACCCATTTTGTATGATTCCTTCTTGCCAACTTCGGATTATAAATGCGATCACATACTTATATATATAGCACGTTCTTGAATGCAAGAAATCCCTGTAGTTCCGCAAGATACAAGTTTTTACAGACTATGACAGTTTTCATTACGACACACTTTATTCGTAGGTGCGAGAAACCTATTATCATGTATATTGTGTATTCGATAAATATGTAATGATGAATTGATTTAATATACTTTCATACAAATTGATTTTTTAAAATTAATAAAAATTAAAAATACCCAAGGTGAATCAGCTAAAAATTTATGCGATACACATTTTCAATGTAATTCAATCGTTCTTTATTAAAAAAAATCTTTAAAATGTTCAATAGAAAAAAAATATGGTCTATCACTGCGATTAGTACTAAACGTATAACATTATTTTTAATAGTAACATGTATAATTTTACCAAAAAGCTTTGTACCACAATCGATTTTTACTTCACGAGTTAAAATTTGCCATGCCGTTATATGCCTTTAATTAGCGTAGAAGAATGTACGAATTGTTACACGTTTTTAAAAGTCAACGTTCCTTAAAGATCACATTATATATGTTTTCCAGACATAGCTTTTCTCAACTATCCGACACCTTCCATATTAATTATTAATCTCTTATTAGTTTATAGAGTAAATCTAACTTCTGTTATACGTTACGTGATTACAGAATAGTAGGGTATCAAGTGGAGCATAATCAATAAGATTTAACAGTATTTCTTTCATTAGGCACGACCGCGGTACGCAAGTGCCTTATAGTTTCTATCGCGAAAAATGTGTGAGATGCGATATCTCACGCAATTTTCGGCCGATCGGGCTGAAATTTTGGGGGAGGTCTCCTCTCGTACAAACTAAAAAACTATTTTTTTTTATCTCGATCCTCTACGTCATTTCAAAATGGGAGCACAATTTGATCGATTTTACGATTTTTTCGTGTATTATTTAATAAAAATTTTCATGTTACACGATTATCTCTGAGAGACTTCAGTCAATCGGGCTAAAATTTTTTGTGGGGACTCCTCTCATCACTAGAACCTTATGGTTCTATTTTGAGCTTGATCCTGTACATATACGCAGAACCCTGTACATATACGCGGTCACCTCCAAAAATCGCTAAAAACGGTTTTTTGTCTGTAACTCGAATTCTAAACATTCTACAAAAAAAATATTAAATGGAAAAGTTGTAGATCTTTCAAAAATACAACTTTTTCCTGTTGACATCAAATCATGAAAATGCTTTCTACTCAAGTTAGCAGCCCAAAATCAGGCTGGGCTGGTGAGCGCAAAGCGCGAACGTCAGCGGTCGTGCTTTGCACGCAAAACGCGAAGCGTTTTGCGCGCCTTGCATCGCGAGGCGATGCAAGGCGGCAAGCCACTGCGGCCGGAAGGCCGCGTGTGGCGCGCTAGTTTTATAAATTAATATGAACCTAAGCATTCTACAAAAAATTATTAAATGGAAAAGTTGTAGATATTTCAAAAATACAACTTTTTCCTGTTGACATCAAATCATGAAAATGCTTTCTACTCAAGTTAGCAGCCCAAAATCAGGCTGGGCTGGTGAGCGCAAAGCGCGAACGTCAGCGGTCGTGCTTTGCACGCAAAACGCGAAGCGTTTTGCGCGCCTTGCATCGCGAGGCGATGCAAGGCGGCAAGCCACTGCGGCCGGAAGGCCGCGTGTGGCGCGCTAGTTTTATAAATTAATATCTGTATACTGGAAGCTATTTCTAAGTCTTACAGCTGTAAGTCTCATTCAGATTGCGGCCCGTCTAAAACTAAGAAGCGATACTTGGGAAAATGATCAGTCGCTTATCTCCACTAGTCCATGAACAATTTCAGACAATGATATTATACAAAAATTCGTAGGACGTAGAAGATAACGTAAGAGTATATGTATATAAATCTAATCAAAGTACCATTCAACGTTTCTGTTACTGATAGTTCATACGATGGACGAAAAAAAAGGAATATAACATTAATTAAAAATTAACGACAGTTTGTTGTTTGTAAATTTTAATATTTCAGGTTATGTACTTTGAATAATTAATATAACATAGAGCTTATGAGGATCGTCGAAACGCAACTTTATGAAATTTGAAATAGTAGATGAATTAACAAAAAAATCTAACAGTGCAAACTAAATAAGTTTTTCATTTGCATAAAATTCGTATCGACATCCAGATCACCTACACACATTATTATACGTTTTTATCGTTTTTTATTTTTAACGTTTTTTTTTTATTTTCTGGTAATAGGTCAAAACTTGGGGCGTTATTTCAAGATTGTTTTTCAACAAAATTCAGTTTTAATTTTGTAATAATCATAACACAACGAGACAAGTTTTGAGATATTATCATTTTAAGTCTGTTGAAATTTCCACTAATCCAACAGAATGTTTCAATACTTGGTAAATCGTTTATGGAAACTTCAATTTTCTCTTATCACTTATTACCTTAAAAGACATTAACATGAATATAACCCCAGAATGCTTTTAGGCCCCACGTAAAAAGCAAATTGGGGCGTGGAGAGAGTATACATCAAATTACCTACGTTCTTTCCTTAGAATCGATCTACTACGACGTATCATCAATTTTTCGTGGCCGTCACATTTGTTCGTCCAACTCAAAATTTTACTGCCTTGCCTTTATCTTTTCGCCTATCTGGATAATACTTCGCAACTTTCTTTCAACAGTAACATGAAATTCAATTCTCGTTTCTACATTTCGAATTACTTGGACGTAATGATACAGATTATACTGAAAAACAATTTTTCATACCAGAAAATAAAGTTACAAGCTCTACGTAACACAAGCAAATTGAAAGGCTGTCCAATTATTATTATTTCAAAAACGAGATTTTGTAAGGTAATTAGATATAATTACATTCATGACAATGAAAAACCGATCAAAACATTACGTCGGCTGCAATATTGAGAGATGGCCGCATTTCATCTCAGATTTTAAAAATTTCAAAACCTTATGTTTTCGCTATGATCATTAACCAATTTTAGTGGGAAATGACCATCTCTTATACAAAAAATTAGATCATACTTATCATATATACTGTATACGATTCCACCGATGACAGCATTATTACAACATAACGTCACCGCTGGAACAGCAATATCGATCAAGCACCAACAACTGCTATTATTTAAAAAATGCTAATTTTACCGTGAAAATCAATGCTTTGATGAAATTGTCCTGATCAGAATATATCAATACTTATGCTACCCTCAAATACTGAAGGAGATTCTGGGCAATATGTGTTTCGCTATCGTCTCATTCCGCCACCGGTATCACCTTTTAATGTACTTATCCAGCCATTACAAGGAAACTCGTAACAAACATGGACTTGATCAAGGATTGGTGCTTAAACGAGTATTCAAAGATGCATGTAAAATTTGACTTGACTCAAATCAGTTCCCACGTATACTAATCGTTAAATTGTAAAGATGTTACTTGTCAGTTGCTCCATTCAGAATGTTGTTTTTTACTTGATTGTTCACGTGGATTCCATCACCTGAAGCACCTTTGTCTTTCTTATTTTGCGAATTTGTGACGCTATCTAGTCCAAGTTTGCTGAGAGTACGTAGAGCTGTGAGCGCAGCTTGATCACGACTAGCGTTCTTTGTTGGACCGTGACCGTGACAAACTTGCGGTGGATCAGTATTCAGTGAAACAAGCGACAAGTATTCCTTATACATACCCTAGAATCATAAATTTAAATTTAATTGCACATTGCATTAGGTTGCATTCGCACCAAGATATATATTTAATTAGAATAGGTAAAATACCTTTGGAAAATCGCTGAATTCTACATGGAAGTTTAACAGTTGAGCTAAATACTTAAGTTGATCTCTTGGAGATACTCCAGACGGACTTTGCTGCTGCTGTTGTCCACGTAATTCCTCGGCCACAATCTGTACGCTTGGACCACCTCCCATTTTTGATTCTTGCCCTGCGTCAACCAATAGAAGCCCAGGAACTAATTGGCGTCCTGTTGTACCTTTTATACGTTGCATATCAAATAATGAATAATATATACGAATGTACTACGTGCATATGATCAGACCGCGACATCAGCTTCAATTTGAGCAGCCAATTCTGCATAAATTATGTCGTCTTAATTGAGACTGATTTCGCGATCAAAGAACACTTTTTAACGCTATATTTAAATATATACGTATTGCATTAAGCAAACTTCTATTGTGAGTACAAACATATGCAAACGACCAACTATTAATTCGGTGAAGCTCACCTCCAACAGGATGATTCTGGTTTTCATTAATTTGTTCTTCTTCTAGGAAGGTAACTTTTCTCGGTTTGCCTTCAGTATTTTCAGTTTCTCCAGTTTTAATCGATGGTTTTGTAGGTTGAGGTTGCGGTTTGCTGTATCCTAATTGCGTCAAGAGTGCTTCGGCTGCTGCTCTTTTGGCCAACTTCTTATTAGGCCCAATACCTTGCGCAGAGTGTGGCCCCATAGTCACCTCCATAACAAATTCTCTACGCCTCGGAGCGCCTTTTTCTTCAATAAGATTATACACAGGTTCTTTTTCTCGCTTGGCTTGTTGAATTTGCACTAATCGTGATATTGGATTGACCTCCGTCGTAGCTTCAGACTCCGTGCGTGGCTCTTGATAGACTTTAATCAAATTACGTGACTTCTTCTTAGTTGCTGGTGGTCGGCGTCTTAAACGTTGAAGAGATTGATTTTGAATTGTTACTGGAAGAGGTGGAAGCTGTTTTAACTCTTCTAACATTAACTCTGCTGCTCTTTTCTTTGAGACCTAGCAAGAAAACATTCGGTGTTTTATTAAAAAACTGACTGTAAAATTTCACGAGTCAGTTGAAACGCACGTATAAATGTAGAGAAGTTACCTTCTTCGATGCTCCTTCTCCTAAGGTGACTTTATCTCCAACAGTACACTTTGTCATAAACGTTCGAATATGAGGTTTTCCGCTTTCAGATACCATCTCAAAATAAACGGGTAACCCGTGCTTTAATGCTGTTTCATGGACAAGTGACACGGGACTTTTTAATTCAGCATTTGGATCATCTATTCCACCCAAAGTTCTATTTTCAGTCGTTGCGCATGTATTCGCCACTTCGTCGGGTAAAGGTAACTGTCGAAGTTGTTCTAAGGCACGGCTCGCTGCGTCGTGACGAGCTGCTTGACCTGTCATACCTCTGCCGACAAATTCTCGTTCACCCACCTTAAAAAATCAAAATACAAAATAGTTATGTCGAAAAATAAGTCACGCAACATCTAACAATATCGTATAAATAGTTACATATAAATGCAAACCTTTAGCGTAACATGATATAATCCTTGTGGTTCAGCATGGAAACCTCGATTGTAGGTTGGATAACGAGGATTAAACATTCGTGGAAAGTTGCCGAATCCATGCGCAACAAATTGTTGAGGCGGTGCCGGCGGAGCATGTCTGAACGCATAGACAGTAGGTTCACCTCGTCTCATCGCCAAGGTATTTAATTCGACCGTGGGAGGTAAATGTCCTGAAATATTGGAGTAAGTGGTATTTGAAAATGTCAACTTCATGATAAACTTATGATATGATATTTACCAGATCCAGCGGAGCACTTTCCAGAGTTTCCAATTCTCATTGCTTTTGCAGGTTTCGGAGGTGGATGCCGATACCAAGTAGTGGTTAGGGCTTCTGTCGCTGCGCTATGCTGAGCTTTTTTTATACTAGGCCCATCCGCAACATATTCCTCTTCGCCTAATTTCAAAGTTACAGTGAATCTTTTATTATGTGCTGGACCTTGCTCGTGAGTCAGTCTGTACTGGTGTTGTATCTTATTGAACCTTGCCAGTTCATTCACCAGACACATTGGGGTTTTTTCTTTCATGTTTGCCAAATTGGGATTGGTCACGTTGGCATGATTCTGTGTTGATGAATTATTATCATCCTTGGACTCTCCATTGGCTTCATTCGTTGGAGATTTGTTTGGCTCGGTGTTCTGTTGCTGTTGAGCTTGTGTCGCTTGTTGAATATTCAAATTGTTCGGTTGTTGCTGATACTGTCCTTGAATGGTTTGCGTTGCAACTGATCCAACCGAGCCTCCTTGTTCCTTCAAGCCAACGTTAGCCATCATACCTAAATTTAAAGTTATACGTCGATGTAAAGATACTCATAAGTACTTTCATCCCTTAACTGATTCAAAATACGAATTCTCAATTTTTTTTCGGATTTATAAAAGCGGTATTGCTAACATATCGGGTTATATGGTTACCGCTATAGAATGCCTCGTTATTAATGTCCTATTTAATGTTATAAATAACGAAGAGGAAAATACGAGAAGACATGTATCCTAAACGTAAATATCTTACACAGTTCTTAAATGGCACTTGGACGTAACCGTCACATTATTAAAATATGACCCAATGAAATCCTATACAATTTTATATGGCAGTTCGACGTATGCTACACGTCATAGGTGCAACAAGAAAAAATCGTGATAGCATTTTTATGGTATCGCGTACGAATATCAACGATAAAAAATTGCGACTAAATATAAAGCATTTACTTCAAAAAAAATTAATACGCACTTTTTCGCACTGCATTTCATATTCACATTTATGTATTCTATATGGCTACATTAAAATAAAGAATTTGTGTGGTCCATCACAGCACTAAATTTTTGAGACCACGTTTTATATCTAAAACCAACAGGATCATTGATTTTTTTCAATTTCCTTAAATTGAACTTGTAAAAATCCTTTGCAGAATGAGATATGCAAAAGCTACATTAAGAGAAATTTCATACTCTGCCGTAATATCATGAAAATGTTACACTGATTATTCAAGTCGTACTTACGACATGCAGAATACGTACGTGTAGGATACGTCTAACAACTGGCATCTAAAGCATGTAGGATATTTTTAGGATATTGCGTATGGGATGATATTGACATGTAGGATATATACCTCCTCGAGAAAAAAGAAAAAAAAAAGATAACGCGCCATATCTGAAGAGAAAATAATCGATATTATAAAATGTTTGGCTGTTATAAAGTTGTGTACCTTACTTGAAAGTCTGGCAAACATATATTATTATAAAAAAAAGTATCTGAATGGTACCCAAAATCAGACAGACCTTCTATACAACCTGAGGATCCAAATAACAGCTCCAAATTTTCAACGCTATAAGATAACATCGGTCGGTGAATTTTGCTCGCCGCACCACCTAGTAGCATGAGTAGGTACAGCACAGTTGGTAAAATATGCCGTAGCGCTAATAAACATCACAGTAAACGTAGGTTATTAGTAAAATTGTACGAAATACAATCGCTGACCAATGCGATGCAAATTTTGATCGAATAGTGTACCGTTCTTTGCTTCTACCTCTTTAACCCTTTTTGAGCTCACAATTCTGAGATCATTTCAAATACCATTATCAAGAAATCTTTAATAACCACGTTTGCTGATTATTATCTGAATCTGTTGATATAGCTGTTTCAGGAAAAACAGGTCGGCTTGTGAAAGGGTTACAAAGAGTCTACGCCAAAAGTTGATGATATATTAGAAAATGGATCCATGAATTTTGTGTGTATAATATTTGTATATAGAAAACATAACGAGCAAAAAGTTCACGGGCTTTTTAAAATCCTCAAACTATCACTGTTTGCCGTAAATACATGATAGTTTAACGATACAATATTATCACAATGAACAACAATGTTCAACAAAAGTATTTTCCGTCCTCTTCAACAAAAATGTCTACCTACTAAGAGTCATTTAATTTTATAATAGTTTGAGCTTATCCTAAAGTACGTTTTTCTTTTTGTTTGATGGCCAGAACTGTTCTATCTTTAAGCAGTAACAGGCACGGTGAAAACGTTCGGGTAAAAATTGCTCAATATTAAGAAACTGTCTAACAAGCCAGAGATTTTCATTTATATTCAATTTTTGAACGAAATCATAACATTTTTTGTTATCAGCGAAGTTTGCCGAATAATATATAAAGATGCCAGTTAAGAATCGCCGGATTTTTGTTTATACGATATTAAAATAATCATATAGATTTAGACAAAAGATTTCTTTAAAAGAATGTTCAATAACACTGTTCACTAATTAACATACTCCAATTCTCCTGTGACCATATTTGAATTAACGTTATTAATATTTTGGTCTGGAATCATTGAAATATGTTGATACCTCGAATGTACAACTTTTCTTAGAAACCGAAAGTAGCCGTCTATCAGGCAGTTTCTTTGGAGTTCAGCAAATTTTTAATGAAGCTTTAACCTTGGTGTAAGTCCCTACTTGGGAAAAATGATCTACGGATCTTAACAGAAATGATATAAGTATGAAGATGAAAAGTATCTCCCGTCTTTAGGAGGACAGTAAAATTACATGTTAAGAAAGACCTGCCAAGCTTTTTAGTTTTTAATTGCATGTCCTTAAGTTTATGGCGAAGGAGCGTCGTAACAATAAAAACAAACATTAATGTGTAAAAACCTAAAATTTAAGTTGACACTTGTTACGGAATACCGTAATATTGAACATTGGTTCGGGTCTAATTAATTAACGAAATGTAGGGTGTCCGCAAATTTAAATTTGAAAACGGAATAGAACGTTATTCTCACCACAGCAAAGATTAAGGCATTATGGTCTGAAGGACTTTGCTTCAAAATTTCTAAATTGAATGTACTGAAATTTCCGATCGCGTATTCCTTTCTCTTAAACTCACATTTACAAATAAATCACTGAAGAGTATTTATTGTGTATTGTATATTAGAAAGATATGTGTATATATATTGTGTATATATTAGAAAGATTATAAGAGAAAAATTATCGAACTACGAGTATTAATGGATTTTGCGTTCAGCGGTAGTAGAAAAATGACCCATGTGGATCATGACAATTAATTTGTAGACACCCTACTACGTCTGCAAACATAACATCTAAAATTTGCAAACATATGTAAACACTGCTATAATGGAATAAGCCATCACGTGTTATATGATATAACTTTAATACAATAAAGTCAAAAAACGCAAAGTACATCACTTTGGTCGAACATCTAATAATCACGCTCGCAATCACGTGGAGAATGTCCCATGTAAAGCGAAAAGGATTTTCCTTTTCCGTCTTAAGATGATGGTAAACAAAAGTTTGAAAATAAAATTGTTTGGTATTAGGAATTACGTGTAATTAACAGTATTCACTTCAAATATCTCTATGAAAAGAACTAATATTTTTAGATCGTATTTAATTATCGTCTTATTAAATTATAACAAGAATTTGTGCAGCAAAATAGCACTGATCCAAACATTTCCTAATCTGTACACCATTATTGCTCTCTACCTTGTTGTAGTTCAGGCCAAACAACACATAAATCCAAACAGTCAACTTTTGGGATTGTCCAAAAGTCATCTGAGCAGGCTGTTGTGCAGATTGTAATATATGCTCTAAGTAGATATCAGAATATATGCACATAATAGATCATATACTCTATTGCACAGAAAAGTATTATATTTAAAATTTCATGAACAGCATATCTAAACGGACATCGGCATCATAATCTAGTTCATGAACACCAAACAATTCATATTGAAAATGGTATTAATAGAACGTTAGTTTGGAAAATTAAAAACATACTGATAACTTTATCATAGGACACCCCATTGACAAAATATTTTTATCCTTTATCTAGTCGCGCATATTTGAAAGGATAATGCACTTAATATTTTTACACATAAAATTGATAATAAATGATTTTAGATTCTGTGGTCATATGTAGCCTGATGTCGGTATTTTAGTAATTATTATTAGTTTTATGTGTAAAAATATGAAATGCCCTTTCGACTACGCACGACCAAATAAAAATTTACATCATACACTATTAAAATATACTCATAAAGCTTTAAGAATTTTATAAACAGAAAAATTTAATACAGTACAGGAATCCCACGCCTAACGATTATTAGATGAGTTGGGTTACTATTTAATTATATTTGCTCAATTAGAACAATTTTAAAAATAAACCATTTGTTTTACTGTTCCAGAAAAACTGTATAACATGTATGATGTCCCATTTTTTACTCCTTATTCGTCATAAAACGAAATGAAAGGAAAATAATAGATTCCAAACATTTTCAATATTTACATTAAATCAAATGAAATATATGGAATAGTTTATAACATTCGAATATCGTTATACCGTTGTTATATTATATTTAGAAATCTGTTATATATGAAATAATACAACTTTTTAGATTGATTAGAATTGTATTCATGTATGCACTTTTCCTCTTATCATTCTCTAAATGTTTCAAATCAGGACGATATTTCAAGATTATCTAAAATTTTAAACGTTACAATTTTAATGAACAGAAAATGTTTTTCACTTAAAAAATGAGAACATAGATCTGATTTTTTATGTCTGCACTCATATACAAAGAAAACAATTTTACAGTCAGAGATTATCTAAACTTCATCATTTTCCACATTCAATTTTGTTTCCCCTATAAACACACAACGAATATTATACTGCATTAAGCGTGGGGCAGTTGTATTAAACTTCTACATTATTTGAAGCTGTAAAAGGAAATTTAGTGCTCCAGAAATGAAATCTCGTAGAAACAGTCCACGCATGTTGGAAAAGTATTGCACAATAAAAACCACGTACCGTTACGGTTCTGTGAACTTATACCCATCAACACTGGCTGTCGTGGGTTTCCTTGCGGATTTCCAACGTGTTGTATCGGGTGCACATGTTGATGGGGGGGCATAGGCAGCTGTTGCTGATGGGGTGCATGCGGATTCCGATGCGAGAGCGGATGCTGCGGCTGATGAGAGGGGGCCATATTTGCCTGCTGCATAGGGCGCATCGGACCTCCCATTCTGCGTCATACCACAAGATGAAAAAATGAGTAACAATAATTTTATTATATACATGGTTATTCAAGACTATTAAATGATTCTGTCCAGTTGATTTATATTAATTTCCGTGGTAGAACCATATTCAGATGGTTTAATAGTCTTGAATAACTGTGTATGTTACAATCCAGCAAATATGCACACAAGCATATGACAAACAATGAAAACAATGTATGAAAGTAGAAGAGAAGAAAAGCAAATTCCATGAACACATTTATTTTATGTATAAAATAAAAAATTTAATAGGCATCTATAGTCAGTTGAAAAGTAAAATATGGTTTTTGTTTTCAATAAATCAAAAACAATGATATTTGAGCAGCCACACATGGGTTTGTTTAAAATTTATGTGACGAAATATATGTACCTGCGTAGTTTTGCACTAAATTATATTTTTCACTTTTACGATACATTTCATTGTTATTGATCTGTCAAAAACCCACATATTTTACTCTTGGATGAACTACATATATATGTACAAACTGTAAGATACATTTCACACTATGTTTAATTTTAATGGCCATTATAAAATTATGATTCAGAAAAAATTGAAAATATTATTTGAATGAGCATCAATGCATAAGAAATTTATATTTGACATATCACAACAATTCAAGTGTTTAAAAATTTCAAAAGAATGTGCAGGCTCTTTTTTCATTAAAAAAAAATTTTAATTGAGCATATCCATATATTTAATATAAAAAAGTATATAATTTAAGTAGAAAAACCAACCTATTCTGGTCTCGGAGTTGGTTTTGCATTGTATGATGCTGGTGCCGCAACATTCTACTAAAACCCACTCTGAGATATCTGAAAGTTTAAAGGAGATATAATTTAATAATGATAGATATTGTTAGTTTCTAATATAATGCATGAATAGTAACACATTTTTTATTACATGAAAATCATTTATATCTATATTATTACCAAGAAGCTATAATGAGAGATTGAATCTTGGATAAAAATTACATGATTGATTTTAAAATATCAACTCCTAGAGCTATGCTGTTGGAGTCTAAAGAGCCATAGAACTATAATTAAGGTGTCTGATACTAAATAACCTCTATGGGACTAATTTTGGTTATTGTATTTGAAATTAATATATATCTTGAAAAAGCTGATAACATTAATGATTCATAAAAAATAACATAGTCATAAAATAGCATTAGTGATACATAAACATTCTGTAAATATAAAAAGTATAAACGGAACAAAATTACAGAATATATCTTTTACTTTTAGGAATATACAAGAAGGCATATAGCCTACATATTGTAAATACAACCTGAATAAAACCTCATAGCATTTTGATATTATTACATTCAAATATCAATGTCAAAATATTAAATATCTAGTAATATAGCTTTGCATATATATTTCCACAAAGATTTTTTTAAGTACAAATTTAAGGTACTTTTAAAGAAATTAATGATCATGTTGTTTTCAACTACAGTATCAAAAAATTAAGGTAGCTAGTGACTAGTCAAATAAGTGCTAAATTTTTCTAATAAAGTATATAAAGTTAAATATATGTATTGATTGAAAATAGTGGAAGGCCACTCTATTACAATACATGTCCTTAACCTAGAGAAACATTAACAGCAATGTATTTGCTGAGGTATTGAATGACTAGGGCTAATTTTCATAGAGGTACATTTTCATCAAGTTTTTTCAAAGAATAAACCATAATTTTGTACCAATTTTAATACACAATACCCTGTTCTGTTTCTCAAAAGTTGCTCTATGAAGTCACCATGTAAAATATTTATAGTATCGACCATTTAAAAATGACAACAGTTTATTTACAAAGAAGTTTATTCATTATCAGATGGTCAACACTACCAAAAATTCATTTAATGGTCATATTAAATAAATGCAAAGTTTTTAATTATAATAACTCGGCACAAGATTAATTTTCTTTTGTAATAATTATAAAGTATGCAGACACAGAATTTTATATGTTTATAATGTCAAATAATCTTTCAATGATACTTAATTTTGATGAATTTAACATAACATAAAGGCAAAAAATATCCTTTCAATCGATTGTTACGAGAAGAACAAAATATACGACAAATATCTTAAATTATTATATTAATACACGTGTCAATGGAGCAGATTTGCCATTGACGCCGAATGTTTATGCGAACGGTAAATTTGCTTGACTAAGATAAATAATTTGCAATACCAAGAACTTTAACCAGTTGTTATAAGTAACGTATTAGAGATTACACATACATATGTATTTCGAAAAATAAAGCTCTTGCATATTAACCTGAATTACTTTAAAATTAATACTATCTATAAATAAATCAGTCGATACACAATGGGCTTGGCCCGGCTAAGAGAGTTAAGTTGCCTAAATGCATTTACTCACCGTAATTAACTCTATTTCACGAAAAATTTCAAACGAACTAAGGATGAAATTTCTGGCAAAACAGATTTTGTCACTTTCTTAAACACTGCCGGCCCTTTTCACGATTATTGGCAAACAATAAAGAAAATCAGTCTGTAGACTGAAATGCGACCATTTTGATGTGAGCTTACTGACTACTGCCTGCCTACCACATCGACTGCGTTTATCAGAAAAGTGCGCTAGACAACAATCGCTTTCAATTGGTCAATTGATAGTAATTCTTGCAAAGTATAAAATATGACCAATCAGATGCGTTTACTCCTGCAGCGCTGTCTGCTCAACGCAGCCATTGGGTATGTTCAGCAGAAACACCGCTGAGGGAGCAAATACATTTGATTGGTCAAATCTCACACTGTTTCAAGATTAACGATCAAATGACCAATCAAATGTACTTGCTCCCTCAGCAGTGTTTCTGCTGAACATACCCATTCTCTCCTGATACCTTCGGCAGTATATGCTATAAAAACTTATGCATTCTCTGAAGAATTTAGATTGCAAATATTCTTAGTCTTCTATTAGTTTTTCTCCACATCGTTGTCATGTTTCTGTCTTTTCTCATTTGATTTTCCATTGCTATACTATACGCAGTTTCTTTCACTAATCTCTAGTTTTTCTCCACATCGTTATCATGCTTCTATCTTCTCTCATCACTAATCTGTAGTCTTTACAGCAACTGTAGCTTAGTTTCCACCGTGCAGGGTTGAAATAGAGTTAACCAATCAAGTTAGCTTATTCCGCTCAAATCTCGTTTTTAATTGGTTAACTCTATTTCAACCCTGCACGGCGGAAACTAAGCCAGTGAAACCATAGATATAGAAAAGACATAGATGTAGCATAACCCTGCGGAGGGGTAGCCGTCCAGGGAGGGGTACCGAGGTACACTGAGCCTACTTGTGATTGGTTACTATTAGAAGCAAGTGCAGTGATGTAAAAGTGCTACGTAAGCTTCATCGCGGGTCTATCGTTCCAAGAGAACCAATCATGTTAAGGCATGGTAAGGGAGGGGTCAGCTTGAATTTGATTGGTTATGCAGCGAACTCCCCCCCCCCCTCATTTTGCCTCACACCCCTTGCCTAAAATATCAGTTTATGCTACATCTATGTCTTTTCTATATCTATGAGTGAAACATAGATTAGTGATATAACCGTTGAGTGTAGATAGGTATAGAGGTGCGGAGGACGTGGTGGGGGTATGTCAAGCATATACTATAATAAAATTTTAGTTCCAATCCCGGCGGGTAGATGGCGCCCCGAAAATCCCAAGTGTGGACACACGACGTCATCACACGGCCCATCAAATTGCCCAATGAAATCCAATTGGCGTAACTGTCTAGGTGATGCCTTTTCCGCCTTTTGTTGAAATGCGTACGTGAGAGGTTTATGATCCGTTTTCACGATCAGCTGTCTGCCCGACTTCGAGCATATGCTGACTCAAGGAATATGCCGGCTCTCAAAAAGTCAATGGGCCAGCCCTCTCCATCTCGTCCTCAAAAAGTCAGGCGAGTGGAGAGCCTGTGGGGATTACAGGCGACTCAACGCTTGCACGAAACCAGATAAGTACCCCGTACCACACTTACATGATTTTTCACACAAACTTCGTGATTGTTTCATGTTCACAACGCTCGACCTCGAACGGGCTTACCACCAAATCCCGGTGGCAGAGGAGGACCGACCGAAAACAGCGGTTATCACACCCTTCGGCCTTTTTGAATTCAACGTCATGACGTTTGGACTATGCAACGCTGCGCAAAGTTTCCAGAGGTTCATGGACACTGTACTCCGAGGACTTGACTTCTGTTTTTGCTATGTGGACATCCTCATCGCGTCCAAGAGCAAAGTGGAACACGAAGGACACCTGCGTCAGGTTTTCGAGCGACTTCGAGAATACGGCATGTCGATCAACACGGCCAAATGTGTTTTCGACAAGAACGGCACACGTGCTCCAGAGGAACGTGTCGCGGCAATACGCGACTACCAAAAGCCAGCCACCATAGACGAACTACGAAGATTCTTGGGAGTACTCAACTTTTACAGACGTTTCGTACACAATGCAGCGGCAACACAAGCTCCGCTATGCGTCTACCTCAAGGATATAAAGAGGAAGGACAAGCGACCTATCCAGTGGAATGCGGACACAGAAAAAGCCTTCGAAGCATGCAAGGATCAATTAGCCAACGCATCACTTTTGGCATACCCCGCAGACAATGCACCGTTAGCTCTTTGCACAGACGCCTCCGACACAGCGATGGGCGCAGTGTTACAACAGCGAGTCGACGACAAATGGGAACCACTCGGATTTTTCTCGAGAAAATTCTCCAATACTCAAAGAAACTACAGCACGTACGATCGCGAACTGCAGACAATATACTCAGGCCTAAAGTTCTTCCGCTACGCGATAGAGGGCAGACAGCTGATCGTGAAAACGGATCATAAACCTCTCACGTGCGCATTTCAACAAAAGGCGGAAAAGGCATCACCTAGACAGTTATGCCAATTGGATTTCATTGGGCAATTTACCACGCAGATTCTACATGTAAGCGGTTCTGACAACGTTGTCGCGGATGCACTCTCCAGACTCAACACTATCAGCATGCCCGTTATAGTCACTACGGAGGAAATTACGGCAGCTCAAGCAACGGATGAGGAACTCAAGGACTTGCTTCATACGGACTCCTCACTGCAACTTAAAAGATTGCGAGTGGACGACTCGGAAACTACCATTTATTGCGATGTCTCGACTAACGAAATACGCCCATATGTACCGCAAGGTTTGAGAAGAACGATCTTCAACACAGCGCATGGTCTCTCTCATCCGAGCGGGCGCACCACCAAGAACATCATACAGCAAAAATTCGTATGGCCCAAGATGAACAAAGACATCATGGACTGGGCCAGGACGTGTATCGCATGCCAACGGAGCAAAATCTCTCGGCACAACCACAACGTACCGGAACACATACCCGTACCGGATTCACGATTCAGTCACGTACACCTCGACATCGTAGGACCACTTCCAACGTCAGCAGTACTCATAACGGATATATCCAGCGATACCGTCGCAGCAGCTTTCCTCAACAACTGAATCGCAAGATTCGGAGCACCCACAACGATTACCACCGATAGGGGATCGCAGTTTGAGTCTGCGTTCTTCAAAGCTTTGGTACATTTCATCGGTGCAGAAAGGATTCGAACAACCGCATATCATCCAGCTTCAAACTGATTGGTAGAGAGATGGCATCGTTCTCTGAAAACGGCAATCATGTGCCACGAAACGGATTCTTGGGTCGACACTTTACCAATGGTGCTGCTAGGCTTGCGCACAAGCATAAAGGAGGATCTGAAGGCATCAGCAGCCGAACTCGACTACGGAACATATCTCCGCATACCAGGAGAATTCCTTACAGATTCAGAGACAACGGATGAGCATCCAATCTACTCGCAGAAGCTCCGGCGACATGCACGAGCCATCCGACCGGTAGCCACAGCTCACCACAACAAGAAGAAGGCATTCACGCACAAGACGTTACACTCGTGCAGCCACGTATTTCTTCGAATGGACCAGAACAAGAGGGTTTTAGAGCAACCCTACGAAGGCCCTTTTGAAGTGGCAGAAAGACTTTCGGACACAGTTTACATAATCCTAATCAATGGGAAACGGGAGACGGTGTCAACCGAGAGGCTAAAACCAGCATTTTTAGAGCGCATTCCAGGTACAGACGAGATGTCAAACAGCAGCTTACAACCAGCATCATCCGGGAACTCACAGGACCATCGCACTGAGCCTGCAGACGCCGCCTCACCTGGAACATCCCAGGCGGGAAACGCAAATCGAACGGCAGTCATCCCAGTGGACGTGCCACAACCTACATCGCGTCCGGACAATCTAAGGGTGTATGGACGAGCCAAGGTTCGTTTCACGCCGCAGCCTCACCGCTAGAAGGGGGGTAGCTGTGGACACACGACGTTATCATACGGCATCGTGTAAATGCGCCTGAAATTAGGGCAATAATAGAAACGCGCCTTAAGCCAGGGCATCGTGTGAACGCGCCCTATGAAAAAGCGACGCTACGCCTCGCGTGTCGTCAGTAGCTAGTAGACAATGGCCAGTAGTCAGTAGAGATGGTTCCTATTCAACGTCAGTAAGCAATATGTGTATATCTTAAAATAAATCGTATCATTCATCCTTTTGTCGTGTGTTACTGTACTGATCACCTCAAACACGGCGTCTTAGCTGCAAACATTATCTCCTATTCCCTACACAAGCTATCTTGTGGCGCTGCCTATGAGTGGGGATTTGTACTAAAAGAGACTGTAGTGCGCACGCGCAAATTGTTTGCAAGAAACAAGCACCATTTGTTCCGAGTGACATTAATAACACAAACAACATTCTAAATAGAATTAATGATGGAGAAATTGTAGGATTTATCACGCGTATCAAAGATTATATAATAGAAACTAATTTCAGTGGTATAACTTTTAATGCTTTCTATTGGGAATGTATATTTTCGGATTGTAGATCACATATGCAAGTGCACATAAATAAATATAAAATCATTTTCTTAAATAACTATGTGTTATTTGTTGTAGATCTTACCTTAATTTTTAGGGTAGCTTCTCATTCGTTTTTATTAATAATTTAGATAAGATGAACATACGAATGTGTTTAAAGGAAAATCGTGCATATGGTTTATCTGTCAATTATGCGATAGAGCAAATGACTTAACTACTGAAATACAAGTTCCGAAGAAAGTATACGAAGTACATGATGCTGGTCCATAGGCATGGCATTGGGTTAGGAGACTAGAGATCTGTGGTTCGAGACTCTCCGTTGGAAGTATTTTTTCTTCTTCTAGACGTTATGATTTTTTTTTTTAAATACAAGGTATTAAGGAGGTTGAAGCGCTTAACGCCGGTCAAATCAGTGCTCAATATTTTTTATCGTTTTTACAAAGTTTTATGAATTAATTGATTGCAGTGAAGGGTGCTTTGTATTATAACATGTGCCCATAACCCATAAAAACATTCAGAGCGATGAATTTGCAATAATATTTCCTGACGAATTTTACATAATGCATTAGCCAGGTAAAAACAAAGAGTACTTTCCTCCAGAAAACGCAAGAAACACACTAGTCGAACGTCTAGATTCAACTGGAAAAACTGTCGTTCGTTCCTAGAAAGATCGCTTGAGATAAGACGAATTTAAAGGCCAAGTCTCTACAATGTTGTGGCTATTCCACGCGGCTTTGTCTGAAGTTGAATTTCTCGAAAAAAGGTCACTCGTTGCAGGAAAAATCATCACTTCGTTTGGGAATATATATATATGTATAATATATTTGCTTATGCATACGTATAGATTTGTAAATAAGTAATGCACCTGGACAAGTACATGCATGCAATATAATAAATCTAGGTATATCGAGATAAACAACACAGCATCAGTCCAGTTAAATAGAGATATAGTCGAGAAGTTTAGTATTCATCTTCGATGAACAAAATTTATTTCTTACTACACAGCGCATGTTATTTAGATTTTTCAGTCGAACCATTTTTTTACGTTATTGTGATTTGCTTATACGCTAGTTATTTAAATGGATGATTTGTATGACGTTATTATCTTCGATCGTAGTATAGGCCTACTGGGGACCCGCTACGTTAAATAATGGGAACGAATCGACTACGGTACCTCTTGGGTGATGTGGAAGCCCGTAGATTATCGTTGTTGATGCCTTTATTATAATAAAGTAATAAATAAAATTAGAAAAAAATTGATATTTGGTTCGATTTTTTTTACCTTTAGCCTGCAGCCCGTACAACTTTTGAAGAGGTTGAAGCACTTCACGCCGGTCAAATCAGTACTAAATTTTAGTAATCGTTTTTGTAAATTTAATGCATTATGTAAAATTCTTCAGGAAATATTATTGCAAATTCATCGCTCTGAATGTTTTTATGGGTTATGGGCACATGTTATAATACAAAGCACCCTTCACTGCAATCAATTAATTCATAAAACTTTGTAAAAACGATAAAAAATATTGAGCACTGATTTGACCGGCGTTAAGCGCTTCAACCTCCTTAATACCTTGTATTTAAAAAAAAAAATCATAACGTCTAGAAGAAGAAAAAATACTTCCAACGGAGAGTCTCGAACCACAGATCTCTAGTCTCCTAACCCAATGCCATGCCTATGGACCAGCATCATGTACTTCGTATACTTTCTTCGGAACTTGTATTTCAGTAGTTAAGTCATTTGCTCTATCGCATAATTGACAGATAAACCACCCATACAGCACAGAAATATTTTGTCAACATTGCCAAAAGTTTCTCTTGAAATAATGCAATATTACCGGAAATATATTGAAAATTGTTTAAATATTTCTGGAATGTTGCAGAAACCTTGCAATGTCCGCTCAGCACGTTGCAATCATAATATTGCTATAATATTGCCGGTCAATATTTCGGAAATATCAATGCATAAT